CACACTCGCCCACTCTCACTCACACACACACACACACACACACACACACACACACACACACACACATCAGTCATCAGACTCTTAAAGCCTGTTAAAGCTGTGAAAGGCATGTCGTCTCGTCTCACCCGTGACCAGAAGATGGTGATGACGATGACCAGGTGAGCGGCGAGCGTGAGGAAGCGCGCAGGCACCAGACTCTTTAACGCAGACATCCCAGCTTCACCTCAGCAAACCTACAACATCATCATCATCATCATACACAGATCATAACTCACAAACCTCCCACCATCTCCACTGACGGCTGCTATCCAGCGCACACATGACCCACAAACACTGCATTCTCCTTCAGCACGTCCACTTCAATTATAATAACACAATTAATGATAGTATACTAAATACAGAAAATGTCATTTTGTTTGTTTGTTAAAATAGTTTCCTTAATCTAAACACTACAAGTCTGGGCTACTTTTCCTAAGTTTGCCACCTGAACACAGAAAACTAAAATGAACTCGATTCAATAAAGTTAAGTGGTTGAAAAAAAGAAATCCTTGATTTGTCCTTCACGCTCAAAAGAGGGCACGCATAGGGAAATGAATGGGACATACTAAAATTAAGAGCATTTTTTAATTATTATTTGTTTTGTCCAGTGGTAACATTTTATTGTTTTGAGTTGTTCAAATGTAATGTTTTTTTGTTGTTGTTAGAAATAAATGATTGCTCTCTCTCTGCTACACTGTCTTTCCTTACAGCACGCTCAGATTTGTCTGTAAGCATATTTTGGCATCTTTGTATAATCTCACAAATCTTTTTTGTTTTTTTTAATTCTATAATTTTATTTTATGATAAAAAAAGAGGGTAAGTGCAACAGTATTGTATAGATAGCAGCCTATATATGCAGCCAAATCTTGATATTTCTATACCCCCATATGTCACCAGATGTTTAGGTTTTGGCTGTCTGAGCTTACTGGAATGATTATTATCATTTATTTATTTTACTTTAGTAAAATAAATATTAAATACAACATAAAATAAGCATATTTTACATTAAAATATGGTACTTTTAGAGGTAAATAAATTCAAAAACCACCAAAAATCCTGCATAAATAGCTAGATTTGATTTTATCGAAGATTTAAAAATAAATAAATGAACAAACTGTGATCAGACCTGAGAGCGTGCTGCGCTCGTGTGTCCAGACGAGGCGTTCCTTTGATCAGTGCGTGACGCGTTAGTTTAGAATGTTCTGAAGCAGCGCTCTCTGCGTCACCGGAAGCCGTTCTCGCAGATACTGTCACAGTGTGTCTCTGCATCCGTGTAGTAACTGAAACAAGACTTCTCGCGCGCTATTAATAACTACATGCAGACGCTGCGCGAAATGAGCTTTACTCGCATGCTCAGCCTCAGGCGCGCGCACGTCCGCGTTACTACAGCAACGGTGTCCTCGCGGAACCCCAGCACGAGCGCCGGCGCGCACACGTCGCCACCTGCCGGCGCGGAGGCGCGCAGTGAGCACAGCTAGCGGTATCACCTCACCTGAACACAACTCTTTCTGCAGCTTTACTGTGCAAGAAAAGAAAAGAAAGAAACTATTTAAAGTTGATTTTTTTATACTGTTTTTAGAAATGAGAATGTCTCCAAAAGGAGGTTGTCAAGTTTAGTACAGACTAAAATGTGTCCCAAACTACAAATAAGTAGATAAAACACACACACACACACTCTCTCTCTCTCTCTCTC